TAAAGAGAATTTCAAACAGACTGAAAAACTCCAAGAACAACACAAGGAGTATCCCACTCCCCTGGCGTAGGTTCCCACTTTTAAATTTTACCGCACTTGTTCTCCTATCTACTGTCCCTTCCATAGTTGTTTCTTTCTGACATCACAACCCATCATGCTGACCACCCCTGCATGGAACTTCAGGGAGCGAGGGCGCTCCACCCCTGCATGCTCCCAGTGAGGAAGCCAACCACTACAGTGTTGCCACTACCTGGTCCGCAGTCGCCTCACACGTCTCACTTTCTTGCACTGCTTCCTCTCCAGAAATGCTTAGTTGCTCCTTCTTTCTTTTTCTAGTACGGACCACTTCCCCTATCTGTCTCTTTTCCCTTGTCATTGCTAGTACATTTCTTGAAGTAACCTTTAGCTTGGTTTAAACCAGGGCTCTGGGAACAGACTCAGGCCATGAGACGCTCCTGTGTTCATCCCAGTGCAGCAGCCCTGGAGCAGCTCACCTCTGGTGAATCTTGATCCTCTAATTGTGCTGGCCTCTTGTGGATTCTCTGATGTAAAATAGCATTTTTCATTTTTATGGCTTACTATATTCTGTTATGGAGAATATTTAGTTATCAATACCGATAATCTGTTCTTCAAGTAATTTAACTGTTTACTGTAAACATGTTTCCAATCACTCTGGCTATTTCCTTTTTCTGCTATACCTGGAAACTCCTCTTCCTTTTTAAGTTGCCAAACACCCCATGTTCATGGATTCCCCTCTCTATTAGTACCTTCCTTTCTTTAATGTTCATACCACTAGAGGCAAGTATCTACGCTAGGATAGAAAATTAGAGAAGATGGAAAGATGTCTAAGGTTTAAGCATATTAAATTTGAGATGTCCATTGCACGCGTTCATTCAGAAGGTACGGTATGAGCCTGAGTTCAGGTCCTCTTTCAGATCATAACCATGCTATATATATTATCTTAACTGTTAGCTGTGCTCACTAGAGAATGCAGGATACTATGATGCAGTTTTCCTGTTTTACACTGTAGCTTACAGATATCCTTGCAGAGACCTCTGTTCATTCCTTTCTTGCACCATTGTTCATACACATCACTGTTTTAAAATCTAGATTCTAGGAATTGC